AAAAAACAACCAAGAATTTTCCTCATCTCTCAGAGGAATGAAAAAAACCAAAGCCGATTTTGACAATGAGTTTTAAAAAGCTTGTGCCTTTCCAAGAAAATTCTGAGTCATATTTGAACAAAAGAACAGTATCTTCAGAAATGCTCACGCTAAAAAAAATAAGATTCCAAGTAATAGCCTCAACAAAGCGTCAACATGCAGCAGGGAAATCGATAACGTCATTCCAAAGAAATATAAAAAGAAAAATTTGATGCCCATCAAAATCGAATCTGTGTCCTTCGGTCATCATCAGTGTCGCCGATCCAAATGCTTCCCAACATGTATATATTCCATGTATTTGTCTGTCAGTCATCGTTTCCATTCAAAAGGTTTTTTCATAAAGTCTTCACTTCTGTTCTTTTTGGGCAACATTTTTTTGTGGTCTTTGGTGAGTTTTTCCAAACACAATTTATAAGTGGGAATTTTTGGTGAAAGTGCCGGTGGTTAAAAAAAAAGAAATTCAACTGCTGGCAATATGTTGGAAAAAGTTTAAAGTATGATATGTAAAGAAAAATAAATACGGAGTCAAATAAACCTATTCACTATTGAACAGTTGAATTAGTCTTTTTCATTTTTTCTCACCAATTTAAAACAACAACCTTTGCTTGAATCAGAAACTCTGACCTTAACATGGACAGGAAAATATATATTCATAGCTGAAGGATTGAAGGAAAACATTATTTGAGATGATTTTCTGCACGCAGAAAAATATTCACATTTTATGGAACAACTCTTTTTGCAATATTGGCAGAACAATAAGTTTTACATCTCTGTGGACCAAATGAAAATGTATGATGAAGAGGGTTCTTGAGTAATTTGGTCTTTTGATGACCTTCTTGCCAGGAATCACAAAAGGTTGCCTGACAAATCAACCAAACCAAAAACACCAAAAACTGTAAACTGAAATAATCAAAAATTTTGAAACCTTGGTGACCATCATGGAAACTGACTGCCAAAAAACCTGATACAGTTGGTACCTTGCAATTCAACCCAAACCCTGCAATTCATCTGTCCTGCAATTTGACAGTCAAATTTGCTTAGATGTTGACTCTTGATATGACCTCTGCCCTGCAATTTAACGCTCATGGAAATGCAAAACATCATATACACTAATATGTAGAAAACATTGCATTTGACATTGCCTTGCAATTTGATTGCTTCACAATTTGACCCTAGTCCAGAAAAGGATTAGGGTCAATTATTGTAGGGCACCACCTGCTCAAATCAGACTGCCAAGAAAACTCTGTGTCTACTGGAAACCGAAGAAATATTTACTACCTTTCAAAAATATCCTGTGCTTGGATCTTTGTTGAATTCCTGAAAAGTGAAAACTTCAATTACTTTTTTACAAAATTTTTGATTTGAAAATAAATACATTTGAAGACACTTGGTCTTGGCTGAAAATAGCCTATAAAGTGTGCATTCTGCTCATTTCAATTTATTTCTTTTTCTGGATCCTATGTATAATGATCCCTGACATTTTTGTCAAACCGAAATTAAATTTCATGAAAAACCTCTGTCTTTACTTAGCAATCGAGAGAATAACCTCTGCTTATATTTGATCAGTCACATTGAGCTAAACGAAATACTGAGCTGATGATTTTTGCAAACTTTGTGCAGTACCCTTTTTAGCTCTATTGACAAGCATTCTCTCCAGTTTTCCCCTCTTGCTTCAGC